AAAAAGGAAGAAGATAGTGATCAGTGAGAGGCAGAGCAAAGGGTCGGTGCTTCCTAGATCTCTCTCTGCTCCAGATTTATCGAGAAAGAAGGAAGAAAGAGTTTTAAAAAAAATCTGAAGGAACTAAGGGTAGTTTGGTAATTTCACATGGCCAAGAAAAGAAAAATTTAACTCTTCCTTTTGGTCTCTTCCAGATTCGAACTTGGGACCTCATATATGAAAGATTGCTCAGCTGCCACTAGACCAAGTCTCTAACTTATTATATTTATCCCAAGAACTAATATAAACACACTTTAAGCAAGATAACCTATATATTTATTTATTTATTTATTTTAAATTTTGTTAGGGTTATTACATTACCTATTCTGTTAAGTCCTCAAAATTTTAAATTTTTAATTAACTTATATATTTGAAATTTCAATGGTTTCAGTCAGTAAGTGTATTATTTTGATTCGCATGTGAATAATTTAGTTTCTTTAAATGTGATAGGATAAAGAAATTTCAATTCACTCTCATTTTATGGTTATGATTAAGATTTATAAATTTAGCATTGAATTATCATATTTGCAATTATTTTATATAATTGTTTGTGTTTATTATTTTTACTCTTTTAAACTCCATTTTTGGGGATGCTATTTATTGGAAAAATGTTTTGGTCTCATATTCATTAGCTAATGCTAAATCTCCTGTGGATTATTGAAAGGTCTATCACTAGTTGGGAAATGGAAAATGCAGTAGGTTTTGATGTGTAAAATTTGAACTATGAAATTTTATTTTGTAAATTAAATTTTAGGTACTCCACATATGCTATAACTAGGATCCTTATTTCAATATATATATATATATATATATTTATTTGCTAGCTAGAAGGAGCTGAGCTCTTGGTTGACTGATATTTGATTAAAAATTTGTATTATAAAATTTTAGAAAATCTTATATACATGATAGATTTTGTCAAAATTTGCACCAAAAAAATATTAAGGTATCATTTTAAATGACAAGTATTTTTAAAACTAGAAAATTTCTTAAGTTAGGCTTAAAGGATATGTGCTTAGGTACATATCCTGTGTCGGTCACTCTTATATCTTAGGGCCTGACACATTTCATATGAAAATGAGAGATAGGACACTGTAAAGAAGCCTCACCGATGTGCGTGATGTTGGCAAAGTCACTAGTACCAACAAGAACATTAACATAGCCAAAATTAGGATGCACCAAGGACAGATAAGCAGCATTATGAGTGATGTGCTGAGTCTTACTAGAATCAAAGTACCAATTATTGTCAATTACTGACTCAAGAGTAGCAATGAACGCTAGAGCAACAATAGGAGATGAGTAAACACCAGATTATGTGCTTGGTACAACAATAGGATTTTGCTTAGAAGAGGATGAAACAGGAGCAATAGGCCGATGGGATGAAGGAATAAAAGCAATAATAGAAATAGGAGAAAAGTCATATGAAACATAAGACATATAAGTAGTTCCATCATAGGTCCCATAATTAGTATAATAAGCACGAGCATCAAGAGTAAGAGATTAGTGAGAATTATACTAAGGTGAGGTATCAAACTTGTAGTAGGAACATTGAACTATATGTCCAATTTTGCTACATATTTGGCATTGTGGCTGAATAAAAGGAAGACGGCCTCAGCCGTGAACAAAATGACTACCTCTAGAGTTCGAAGGTAGAAAACCTTAGCCACCACTAGGAGCTTGAGTATAGTGAACACCAACTAGATCATAGCTTTCATTAAAATCAAGCAAGTGAGCTGTCAAATGTGCTTGAATAGATATACTTTTAGCTAAGAATTTCTTTTAGTGAGCTTCAGAATCAAGTAACATGGAAGACTACCAAGTATGGTTGTGCAGCATTGATTATAGCAATTACAAACTCATACTTGATAGTAAGACTACCAAGTATATGAGCAATATGTGTTAGCTCATTAATCTTCTCACCAAGAACTGCTAAATGATCACAAATGGATTTGATGTTAGCCAAGTAATCTCACATAGGTAATTCACGTTTCTTTTGAGCTTGAAGTTAATTCCGATAGAGCAGTATCTTGGAGTTAGACTTGGAGGAATATAACTTGTTCAATTTGCCCTACATCCGTGCAACAATGTTCAAACCGAATAATTAAGGTAAAATGGATGGAGCGACAGATACAAGGAGCCAAGACGCTAGGGCAGAATCAAGAGATTTATAGTCATCAAATGCTGGATTTAGAATAGGATGACCGAACTCATAAAAAATATGAGACAAAGGCATAAAAATTGTACTGTCAAGGAAGCAATGCGTCGATGCTACTTGACCATAAGGTAAACCTATTGCTTTCACAAATAAAAATTGTGATAATCTAACTTGATAATGATCTTCTTATTGAAAAACTTTGATAAGTTGCCACAATATTTAGAAGTGATGTAGGGGCAAGAAGGGGTCCAGTCATAGAGACAGAAGCAAAGAATGAACTAACCATTATTTCGTAGCAATCTCAATCTAAGAGGAGGAGAAATCACTACCGCTAATGGCTCTAATTCTTTTTTTATAGATGATCAGCAGTTTATCAAAATAGATGGCTGTCATTTGGCTCTGATACTATACCAGAAACAACACTATAATGAAAGCGATAAATCTCTGTTCTGACTTTATTAAATAGAAAGAGAGTACATATATATAGGCACTAAGGATCACATGATTGCAACAAAACCTTTAAACACACTTAACAAACTTAATTATTCTAATCAAGCATAGGATAACTAATTATTGCTGACTTGGACAAGTAACTACTCTAATATTTCTCGTTCAAATTTCTCATTTTTGGAAGTACAAATAAATGCTTCCATCATTACATTACATAGATGCAAGATAACCTATATTTTTTGCCAGCTAATTCAAAACCAAAAGTTGATAGCAAATAGCATTTAGAATAAATTCAAGGTTATATATATAGTTTCTTTTATAATTGTATATTATGAATATTTTAAGGGTAGTAACGAATTTGGGTATGGCTTTCCTATATTTTCTATGAACAAGTAAGGTTAATAAGTGTCCCACCATTAAAAAACCTAACCATATGTGTTACACTATTAATGCACCATAGATTGCCGTTAATTTAAGTTAGTAGGCTCCACGCATGTGTACACATGACATCTAAGTGGATTTTGAGTCAATTTTTTTAAAAATCTCTTTAGGATCACAATTAGAAATTAAATTAAAACATTTTTCCAGTACATACATAGCAACCCGACTTGGATTTTTTTTTTTTAACAAAATTCCTTCATATGCTTACTTGTCACTCCTCAAAAATAGAGAGTGATCGGCACGGGTGTGAACTACATTACGCATTCCCGTAAGCCTCAAAGTGAAAGTTCATTTCATTTTGTTTTTAAATAATCAAGTCATATGAAAGTTCTAACACTTCTAATACTAATTGTCAAAGCAAAGCTTTAAAGCTTTTATAAAAATTTTGACAGAATTTCCTCTGTAAATAAGATCTCTCGAAAATTCTTTAACATGAAATTTTCACAAAATATAATATCAATCAAGAGTTTAGCTCCTTCCAACTAGCAAACAATATATAAAACAAAACAAAGTCCTCGCAACAATCTATATGGAGCAACTACTCTTTTCTCTAAATTAAAATACATAAGACTTAAATATTTACATTAAAAGGTAACAATACCAAGCAAAATTTCCACCCAATATTGCCCTTTTGAGGTCAGTGATAGGAGCAGCATCAACTAATAAATCTAAGACCAAAATAAATTTTTTAGTGAATAGCATCCCCAAAACAAAATTTAAAAGAATTCAAATAATAAACTCAAATAATCGTGTAAAATAATTGAAAAGATGACAATTGAACATAATAACTTTATAAATCTATAAATCATAATCATAATCATGAAATGAGAGTAAATTGGAACACTTTATTCTATCCTAGTTAAAGAAAACAAATTACTCGTACACAAATCAAAATAGTACAATTGTTAATTGAAGCCATTGGAATTTTGAATGAGTGAGTTTCAAAATTCAAATTTTTGAGAACTTAACAAAACAGGAAACAAATGTGGATACACAGTCCATGGGAGTAAGTAACCAAATGTAGCTGAAGCCGTGAAACAAACATGGACACACATTACACAAGGGTAAGGATAACCAAACGTAGCTCAAGGCCACGAAATCAAATGCGGGTATAAAGCCCACGAATACTAAATGTGAGAACAAAGCCCACGAGACAAACTAACTAGTTATTAACCACAGCACGCTATAGGCTAATGGAACTACTATTAGTAGCAGTGTTTTGTCTAAAGTCCTCTTGGAAATCACATTTCAAACATGCGAGAAAAATAATTATTTCTGTAATAAAATTTTTCATTCTCAATACCAAACTCGCATGAATTGTTTCAAATCTCAAAATTTGACAAAATAGTACTTCATAGCTAATGTACAGATTTACATTAATTGAGTAACCAAGAAATTCTATAGTTTAATAAACAAAAATGCCTTCATACATCTTGGAAATATATTTCTTGAGGAAAAATAAATGCACATATCATAATTTAGTTATCCTTTGTGATGGCCCTAAATTTTAAGTCGAACAAAGTTTTTTTAAAAAATATTTTATTTAAATAAGTCTCATAGAAATAAACAGGGGACATTTATGGGAAAAAAATTTGTTAGAATTTGTGCAGGATTAAACTTTTCAAAGTAAAACCTTGCTTTTAAATTATAGAAAAATTTTGCGTTCCTTATCGTAATTTTCTCGTGCCTTTTATTGTAATTTCCTCATGCTCTTTTTTGTAAATTTTTTCATGCTCTTTATGTTCTGATTTCGGTTCTTTTGCTTGAGGAAAAATAGAGCACTTTGACTCATTTTTTCACCGCCTTCCTATACTCTTCTAGATCATTTAAGTCGGTCCATTTCTTTAATCCTTATCAACACACTTAACTCGTTAACTGACCATTTTGTGTGGCTGTCGTTGCTTCATATCACCTCACCTTCTCATCCTCATCTGTTTGTCACGTTTAAACCAAGTTGCTGATTTTCTCCCACTATATCGTGCTGGTTCGTGTCCACGAGAGTCTGTTAGCAGTTTGTGATCTTAGCTGCCACCTTCCTCTTCTTCTTGATCTTCATCCGTCAGTCACAATGGATAGGTATATCCCTTATTCTCTTGCTCTGTTTTGCACTGAATTTGGATACACATGGTGGTCGGTCTTTCTTTTCTCTTTTCTTCCTTCCCTATCGTTGAAATTCAGTAGGGTGTAGGTGGTTGCTGCTTCTTTTATTGCTGACTAGAATCACAACTTCCTCCTCCTTATGTGTTGACAGATTTGAACCCCTAGATTTTTCTATTTCGATGCTATTCTGTGGCTGAATCAGACTTGCTGCCATTAAGACTTGTTGAGGTGAGATATTGTTTTCTTTCTCTTCTCGTTACACTGTGTGGCACTGTTGAATCATTCCCTCCTTCTTCCAGCTGATTAATGTGATCTCTGTTCTTTATTCTTGATACTCAAATTGTTATAAGGACTAAATTATTGCACTGGGATCGGAAGTTCAACCTAGGATTAATTTTTCTGCCTTTTATATGTTGGATGCAGTGAACCTTTCTCTACATTGCACTGCTGGACGATTTTCTTTGTTAGTCTTGAGTAATATATATAAACAATGGAGGGTGTGATTTGAATGTTAATGCATTTATAGTGTTGAGAAAATAAGTAGAAGAGCCTAAGAGGAGTAATTAAGTATATTCAAGGTCTAAAGATCAATACCATAGATTTAGGAATTGTTTTTTTTTTTGAACTATAAACTATTTCTAATGAAGAAATATGTTTAGAAAGCATTTTGAAATTTTTTTATATGGTTGGATTAAGGTCAAGTTGCCAATTTGATAAGGGAATAATAAATAATTGATTTTAAGGTTTTTGATGTATTTGCTAGGAATCTAAAGACATCATTGGAATTAAGTTGAGAGGTCAGGAAGAACGAGCTTTAAAAATATAAGAAACTCTCATGTGAGTGGGTAGCGTTCTAATTAAATTCTTAGGAAAGTGTTTACAAAAATCTCCCTATTTAGAATTTTAGCAATTATCTCTTATAAATTGTACAATTATTCTCATTTAGCCTAATAATTGTTTTATTAAAGAGAAGGTGTTGATTTTATTGGTAGTTTATATAGTTGACATGTATTGATGAAGTAATGATAATAATAATTGATCAGTATTTGAAAGTGGAAAATGAAGAAGAAGAGAAAAGAAAATTTTGAAATTTTCTCTTACTTCATACATGTTAAAGTTTATTGAGGAGGACTGAGTTCAGAACGCTAGATGCTAACAGCAGTTCCGTTAGCCCTTGGCACTCCATGGTACACCTAGCTAGCAGGGTGCTTCTAGGAGGTGCTAGCCCCGTGCGTAGGCTAATGCATGTGGAATAGAGGGATAATTATTCGTAAGCATCATACTCACGCTTGTTTTCGTGGGCTTTATGCTTGCGCTTGATTCGTAGCTCTTACTATGCTTCTGATGCGGCTTTCTGTCAGGCTTGATGGGTTATTTACCCTTGTGGACTGTGTGTCCATGCTTATTATTCATTCTGATAGAGCCTTCCTAAATTTTTGTTAACATTTTCAGTTTCTATTTATTCTCTAAAAGCTTTTTATCAAATTGCACCATCGTTAAATATTTTTATATTTTATGAGTAGTGAGATTTTTATTTTAAACATATATGTGTGACTTCACTAGCATTAACTAATTCCACGATCATCTAAAAAAAATTTTAAATTGAGATTGTTATCTATTTCTAGTTAAGGTCAATTCATTATTTCATTAAGGCATTTGAAGTTAAATTTATTATTTATGATCTTCATATTTTCTTTACTACAATTTTGATTAGAACGCTATTCACCAGTAAATTTATTATTTATGACCATTGAAGGCCTTCTTGTTTTTGGGGAAAAAGGAAGCACATGGTGACTATCCTTTTTGTGAAATTTCATTTTGCATTTTGTAAATTATAAGTTAGCGCTCCATGTACCTTATGATTAGGCAAAAATCTCTTTTGTTATGATATAAATCGCTAAAATGAAAATAGTCACCTTGTTAGTTGGGCTGACAGGTTTGTTTGTTGTTGTGAAAATTTCGGGAGGGTCAAATTATAGGGAAGACTCTACTGAATTTTTACAAAATATTTAAACTTTGCTAACGTTATTATTAATGAATATAACTTACATATTTTGAGATTTCAGCTAAAATCTCATTAATCGAGGCTTATGAAATATGAGAGCTCATATTCCATGCCGATCATACTCTTAAGTAGTAGGGTGTGACATCCTTCTTCAATATTCCATAATTAAAAAAATTAATATAATTTAGAAGAGTGAAATATTTGAGTAAAAGACTATTAAAAATAAATATAAATTAAATGGGATGCTATTCACTTACCTGAAATCTCTAGAATTTAAATTTCTTCTCTCAACTTTAATCAAATTTCTCCGCTTTCAAACTCCCTACAATCATATTAAAATTTATTTAACCCTCAACCAATACAATAATTTCTTTTTCCAACCTCACTCACCTCCAATATTAAACTATAATACATTTGAATTTTGTTTTAAATCCTCACTAGCATTTAGTCAAGGCACTAAACATAAATCATTTCCAATCTCCTCATAAAAATGCTAGCATTCAATATTTCATCAACAACTATCCATCTTCAAAAATAAAAAAAAATCACATTACAAATTTCTAAGACAAATATTCTTTGCAATATCCGAATTAAATTTCATACTTCCCACAAGAATTAATGAATCTCCATAAATATCCAAAAATCAAGTTCAATTTCTACTAATAAGCAATTCAACAACTACCTTACAGTCATCTTTCATCAAGTTTCATATCTCATCTCTTGTAACATAATCCTAACCAATTCTTCATTATCAACCCATTTAAACCAAATAAATTTAACTCAAAAGTTGACCCATGTGTATATCATTACCAAGCTTTAAGTCAAAAAATTATTTTTTTTAGCTCAAATGTGCACCTTCTTCTTCCTACAATTCATGGCCAATAGTAATAGAACAAAAAGAATGTTGTAATCACACACACAGAGCAACAGCAGCGCACACACTCACAAGATCAGCACATGATCAGCTGGCAATAGATGGAAGGTCCAAAATTCCTCACCTCAACCTAGGTAGCTTGAATAGTGGTAGACATACAGGGAGGAGAAGATGAGCTTCTTGGATGCTGAACAGGGGAGAGGAAGAACCGAATATAGTCATAAAGCAAGGATAGAAATTGAGTCAGCAACAATAGACCAAGCTCATACAGCACCCCTAAGCAGCTCCAATAACTTGGTTCTTCATTACAACCACAACTTGAATGTAAACGGCACGAGGAGAGCAACGAACAAAGAATAAAAAAACAAAGGTGGGAGATACGCAGATGAACCTAAACATTTCAGAGCAACCTTGAGCCCCCTCTGACATCAGTGATGGCAAGGAATGAAGAAGGCAGAGATGAGTCAGTGATGGCAGGGGAACGAAGAGCAACAATCGTACAAACTCTCAATTCTTTTCACACTCTCTTACACTCTAGTAACCGACATTTCCCAATAAGAAAGAAAAGAAAACAAGAAAATTAAATAGGGTGAGGGGAGGGTATATTGGTAATTCTATGAAGTTAAAATTACAAAAATGGACCTTTTCTTTTCTTTGCCTTATCAAATATGAACCTCAGGCTTAATAATGGGTAAATTAAGTGCACAATTCCACTACACCAACTCCCCTTGTCAAAATTATCCCAAAATTAATATAACTACAATTATAAAACAATACTATATATTAAATTTTTACTTAAAATTCCTGAGTTATTACATTACTTGACTAGTGCTTGCCCTCAATCCCGACAATTGAGGTTTACTTTGTTGCAAAGGAAAGCAAGCTCTTATTTACATCTAAGTCAAATTTTCAAAGTGATGCAATGTAGAGAAGGCAAGACACCCAGATTGAAAGAAGGAGTTTAAATATTTCTAAAAGAAAATATCAATCAAGCATTTAAGTGTACACATGGAGGAATTTTTTTAAAATTGAATTTCTTATTGTGGTCTAAGATAGGAATTTTTTTTATTTCTAAGTAGGTGTATACTTGGATGCCACATGGGACCACATTAAGTTAAATTAATATCTGTGTGTAATGGTAGGACATGTGTGGTTAGGTTTTTTAATGTTTAGGGAGGAATGACCCAAATCGAGTTCATGACATAGGGTGCCCCTAAGCTAATATTTTGAGGGCAAAAGTGATCTTAAGCATCCACTTGGATACCATGTGTGCATTTTTTGTCAAAAAAAAATTTGGCCAATGGGCACGCTAATCATAGGGTAGAATTAGAAGTGCTTTTAAACATTCAAGGGGCGTTTTGACATAAGATTGAGTTCAAGATAACCATTAATCCTAAGTGAATACTTTGAGGATAAAAATGATCCTTAATCCTAATTTTTTTCATGTTTAGAATTATATGTAAATGATTCTCATTATCAAGATATACTACTAATTTGCAGTGATGACGTGAATGGTAATTGTTGCTAGATCAATTGGAATTTGTAGCCAACCACTTGGAAAATTCTTGGATGGATTGGGTGCACCACATCGTCCATGGGTACTGTCCAATAAAACATGCTATGTTGCACTAGTTTAAACAAATCAAATTTTGGGTATCATTATTTTTAGGGTAAACGAGCCAATTGGCCCTTAAACTATAGGTCTAGAACCTTAAACTTATTTTTTGTATAATGTTCCACTTCAAATTTTAAAATTGATGAAATCTGACCCTTTATTATTAACTAAAGCTAAATTTAATCATTTATTGACCATAAAATGATAGAAAAATATCTTAAAAATTATAGAAAAGAACCAAAACAATTATAGTAAAGGACCCAAATATTATAAACAAAGATACAAAAAATTATAGAAAAGGACTAAGAAGATTTGATTGGTCCCTCTTTTTGGTAATTTAAGGTTCTTTTTTGTCCTTTTTTGGTGAACTAATAGTCAAAGTTAATTTTGTTAATTGTAGTAGCTCTATTATACTATTTTCAAAAGTTAAAGGAGAATATTACACCACAAAAGAGTTAAAGGTCCTAGATACTCCTAAATCTATATTTAGGAGCTAATTTGTTCTTTTATCTTACTTTCTATAGACTTTATTTTTAGAATAAAGTCCGCATTAATTTCTTGGATTTCTCTCTCTATCATTATTAATGAAAGAATCTTGGTTAAATTTGTTATAAATAGATTCAAAAGTATCTTCATTTATACCTATAACTGTCAACATCTTCCATGAAAAATGGCCCAAATCATATTATTTACATATGAAGTGTCCAAAAAAGAAGTTAGATTTTAGTAAGGTCTCAATCCTATTTTCTATCAAATTTATGTTTTGAATTTTACATAATTAGATTACAAACATTGTGAAAACAAGCCTCATAATAAATCCTTCCTCCAGTCTTTATTATAGGGCACTTTCTATTATTTCATATATATTAAGAAAATTTATTTTTTTATATCATAAAAAAGTAATATATACTTTCATTTTTATCCTTAGCTTTAAATAATAATACAATTATATTAAATATTTTTACGCTAATCAAGAAGGGGTGAAAATGAAAAAAGTGGTTTAGACATTAGTGTCTTGTTCAGGCAATTAACAAGTCATGTTAGTGAATTAACAAGCATTTGTAAGTAAATTCATCCTTGATTTGCGTGAAAGTCAGCTTCATTGACTCTTCTCCATGCTTGGATACGGTAATTTAAACCAAAATCGTTTGACAGCACAGAGAAGAAGGCAGTCACAGATAGTGATCCATTGGGGGAGATGAGTTCGATGGACGATGACTTGTCTAGCTTGCTGAACAATTTCCCTCAGAAATACCAGTGTCTGTGTTGTATCGAAGACGAGGAAGACAAGCATTGGAGTTCGAAAATCAACAAGATGCTTCATTAGGCCAAATTGGTCAGCAACTCAATTGGACCCTCAAAACCAGCTAGAACGACTTGCCTAATACATGCTAAATATAGATATATATTACTTCCCGGAAATCGAAACTAAAATTTGATTTAAATAGTTCAATATTGCAACAAAAATTGTCAAAAATAAATAAATTCAAACTACTAAAATTTGATATAAATAGTTGAAAATCGTAAAAAATAACTAAATTCAAACTATTAAAATTTGATTTAAATAGTTCAATATTGCAACAAACAATGAGAAAAAAATATTTCTGCAAAATATTTTTTTATGAATTATTCAAAATTTGATATAACAATTGAGATGAGGATTGGAGAGGAAGCATAAGGAAAAAAGAAATGAAGGAAAGCTAAGTGAAATGCAATCTCTCTTTTCTTTTTCCAAAATTATTAGATTATTTGCCAAAAAATTATTAGATTAGATTGAAAGAAAATTAGCAGTCTAGAGACTTCTCTTCATTACAAATACATTTTGTTGCGGTTCTATTTGGATCGCTTTACCTAAAGTTCATCCCCTATTATTTTTCCAAAGAATGAGTTTGTGAGATAAAACAAGTAAAATAAAATTATATAAAATAAACATCTTAAAGAACTTTCAAACGAAATAAACTTACTAGATTGATGTGATGGGAAAATTTGATAAATTATTGTGTTAATATGATGACGTAGAAGGATCTCTAATCTCTCACTAATTTTAAGAAAAATGAGAAATCTAGGCAGAGAATTGGAAGGGGCCATAAGCTTGAAATGTGAAATCATATAGTATATGAAATGTCAATGATAATCAGAGGTTATTTATACCTGTACCAAGGAAAAAATACAATGTATTTCATTGCAAATATCTCATTTTGGAAGTAGAAATAAATGCTTCCATCATTACATTACACAGTTGTCTGATAAGTTGCATTTTATTGCCAGCTATTTCTTTTCTGTTTTTTTCATTCTTATTTAAGTTCAAAACCTAAATTTGATGGAAAATAGGATTAGGGTTACTTATACTTGTACCAAGGAAAAATACAATGTATTTCCTGTGCAATTTTCTCATTTTTGGAAGTACAAATCAATGCTTCCATCATTACATTACCAAATGCAAAATATGCTGCATTTTATTGACAGCTATTTCTTTTCTGTTTTGTCATTCTTATTTAAATTCAATACCTAGATTTGATAGCAAATAGGATTGAGAATAAATTCAAGGTTGTATATATTTATATAAGAACTTAAATATTCATAAGATACGATTATAAAAGAAACTATATATATCGTTCAGATTTTAAGGGTAGTCACGAATTCGGGTGTGGTTTTCCTATATTTTCTATTGACAAATAAGTTCAATAAGTGTATGTCCTACCATTAAAAAAACTAACCACATGTGTCCCACCATTAATGCGCCATAGATGGGCACTAATTAAAGTTAGTGGGTTCTACAGGTCTGTACACATGGCATCTAAGTGGATTTCAAGTCAAAATTTTAAAAAAAATTCTCTTTGAGATCAAATTCAGGAATTAAATTAAAAGATTTTTCTATGTGTACACTTGCAACCCAACTCAGATTTTTTTAAAAAAATTACCTCCATGTGTTTACTTGACAAGTACTTGCCCTCAATCTTGACTACTGAGGCTCACTGTTATTGCAAGAGTAGAGGGTAAGCGCTTATTTACATCCCATGTTTTTATTGAACAAATGTTTTAATAATCATTTAAAAGTTTCAACCTGCAAAAAATTTTAAGAATGATCTTGATAAATAATGATTAATGTTTTAAATGCCGTTCATATATTAATTAAATCATAAAGGTCAATGGATCTTAATTTTTATAGTCTAACTAGTTAAACCACATTAAATTAAATTAATAATAATAAATCCACATTGTGTCTAGTTGTTAATAAAATAACATAACAAGACCATAAATAAACAATATTATAAATTATAATTTCATAACTTAGAAAATATAAGTGGATGTTGGTTAAATATCTTTTATGAGTATATTCAAAAGTATCTTCATTTACACTTGCAGCTGTCAACATCTTCCAAGGAAAATGGTCCAAAATATATATATATGAACGGTCTAAAAATAAAGTTAGATTTTAGTAAAGTCTATTTTTGAATTTTTCTACTTCTTTTAAATTTTTAGGTATTTTTTATATTCTGTTTAGACCTATTCATTTCTTTGAAAACCTCTTCATTTCTAGCTCAACTTTGATTTTTAACTCAATGGCAGCTCACCTCAAGTCGAACCTAGCTCAATTATGAAAATGATTTTTTTGGTCCAAATCAAGCTGTTAATGACTCCAATCAACCAATTTGATCGTTTGGTTCGTTTTGGTTCTTGAAATAATGCTAATGACATCACTATAATTTTTTCAAGTATTTCATATTTAAAAATAGGGTTAAACATCATTTTTATCCTTCAAATATACTTCCAAGAGCACCCAGTGTTCTATACTCTATTTATTTACAATGTCGCCCTTAAAGTTCAAAAAATGGAACAACATTGCCTATGTCGTTAAATGTTGACTACCGTCAGTTAATTAATGGTCCATCAACCACCAACATTTTTCTCCTCATTATTGCATTCTTTTTTATTAAAGCTGTAAATAGTCTTTTCTTTGTGAAGTTAGAAGCAAGCTAAGTCGTCAAGTTTTAATTTTTATCGCTTATACATCATGAAGAATACAACCAGTGATATCAATGAAGGAGCTTATTTTGTATTTTTTCTATTGATTGATTTTCAAGTAAGTATAAATACATTGATGTGTAGAAATTTGATGGCATCATCCAAAAAATTTATGATTAGGGTGGAAAATGCATATCAAGGGTGGAAAAAGATCTAATTAAATAAAACAGATTACATCTTAGTGAAATTCTCAAGTGAAATAATCTTACTCATCTGACATGATACGAGTATTTGATAAATTATTGAGTTAATGTGATAATGTTGGAAGATCTCTCTCATTGTATATAATATTTAAATATGATGTTAAGAAGATAATTGAGAAATTTTGATAGAGAATAAGGAGGGGCATTAAGCTTGAAAACATTTTGATTAAAAAAATGTGAAACCACGTAACATGATAAAATATTGATGATGATTAGGAGGTATTTATATTTGTACTAAGAAAAAAATACAATGTATTTCATGTGCTAATTTCACATTTTTTAGGAATAGAAATAAATGATTTCCATCATTACATTAGACAGATGCAAGATGAGCTGTAATTTGTTGTCAGCCTTTTCTTTTCTATCTTTAATTTAATCAAAGAGTAAGAAAAGTTATCTTTTTTAGACCAAGGAGAGGACATTTTAATTTGTGTTAGGGACTAAAGGAAGGTCCTTGAAAGTTGAGCAAAAAAATTGTGAAATTTTAATTCTATTGATTCCCTTTCTTCTATTAATAATTCTCTTCATACAAGCTGTGATGGTAACTACGTGGAGGAGACTAATTATATGTGAAAATCCTAGGAACGATCCATGCTCTAACACATGCAATCCAGGGTGGAGAAATCATTCAAATTTTTCTTGGAAAAATTATACCACTCAAAAGCCACAAGCACTACCAAGCTTTCAACAACAAAGAAACATGATTGAAGATTGTACAACGAAGTTGGAGGAAGCTTTGGCTCAAATGAAAAATTACCAAGTGAATAGTATGAAGAGGATGAATCAAGAGATTGACCAACTTAAACAAGTAGTCACTTCAACTCAAGCTTTCATGAAGAATATGGAATCACAAATGGGTAATTCTATGAAGAATGTAGAAACCCAAATAAGCAACTTGGCCAACTTTGTCATGCCCCAAAATTAGAGGGCGACCGGCATAGGTGCAAACTAATCACATATCCCTGTAAACCTCAAAATGAAAATTTATTCCGTTTTACAAAAGAAGAAAAAAATTTTAATCAAATTACATGAAAGTTAAAATAATTTTTTTTCATGATAATTGTCATAATAAAGTTTCAATATTTTTGTAAAAATTTCAGTAAAACCTCCCTTGTAACTAAGATCTCCAGAAAACTTTACAATAAAATTTTTTACAGATAATAGTATAAATTAGGAGCATAGCTCCTTCCAGCCAGCAACCAATATACAAACCAAAATAAGGTCTATCAACAATCTATGTAGAGCATCTAATCTTTCTTTAAATGAAAAAGACATATGAATTATATATTTACATTAAAAGTAACAGTACCAATAAAAAATTTCCACCAACTGTAGTTATTTTGCTCTTCAAAGGTCGATGGCGGGATCAGCATCAGCTAACAAATCTAAAGCCAAATAAGTTTTTCAGTGAATAATATTCCCAAAGTAAAATTTTAAAATTTAAATTAACAAACTCTAATGATAGTGTAACTAAATAAAAATAATTCAATAAAATAAATTTATAAATCTGTAAGTCATAATCATAACCATAAAATGAAAGTAAGTTGGAAGCAATATATTTTCATCATGCTTAAGAAAAGCTATTTATTCAAACGTAAATCCAAGTGATGTATTTGCTAGCCAAAATCATGTAAAATTTGAAAACAGATATTTGTCCACATTTAGAATTTTGAGAACTCAATAGAACGGGTAACAAATGTGGACACACAGTCCACAAAGATAAATAATTAAACGCAACTTATGCCAAGAAAACAAATATGGACATAGTCCACGAGGTAAGGATTTTGGAATAGGCAATTTATTGCCCTTACCTTTCCCAAACTCACCACACTTTGTTGAATTAAAACCTCTTCCTTCCCATTTAAAATATGTTTTTTTGGGTGATTCTAATGCTTTTCCCATCATAGTTTCTTCTACGTTAACTTTTGAATAGGAAAATAAACTATTGAGAGTCCTAAGAGAATTCAAACACACTGTTGGATAGTCTATTATTGAGATAAAGGGCATTAGTCCCTCCATTTTTTATGCATATAATTCTTATGGAGGAAAATTACATGCCAAAGGTGCAACCGCAAAGAAGACTCAACCTTATATGAAAGAGATAGTTAAAGTAGAAATTTTAAAATTGATTAAATTTGGTATTATTTATCCTATCTTCGATAGCCCTTAGGTAAGTTTTGTGCAAGTGGTTTCTAAGAAGGGAGGCACAAGTGTGGTGAAAAATGATAAGGGTGAGCTTATTCCCACAAGAGTGGTCATTAGGTGGCATGTATGTATATATATATATATATTATAGAAAATTGAATGAAGCAACACGCAAAGACCACTTTCCTCTCCTATTTGTGGATAGTATGTTAGACAGAATAGCAAGGCACACTTTTTATTGCTTTCTAGATGGTTACTCTAGGTATTTTCAAATACTAATAGAACTAGAGACTTTTACTTGCCCTTATGGTACTTTTACTTATTGTAGGATGCCTTTTGGGCTTTGTAATGCTCCTGCTACTTTTCAAAGATATATGATGGCTATATTCTTTGATATGGTAGAGGACATAATTGAAATTTTTATGGATGATTTCTCTGTATTTGGTGATACTTTTGATTTATGTTTAACTAATCTTTCTAAGGTTTTGCAAAGATGTCAAGAGACTAACCTTGTGCTCAATTGGGAAAAATGTCACTTCATGGTAAGTGAAGGTATAGTCTAAGGCCATAAAGTTTCTAAAAGGGGAATTGAGGTAGATAAGGCAAAAGTTGAAATTGTTGAGCATATGCTCCCACCCACCTCAGTGAGAGGTATGAGGAGTTTTTTAGGTCATATTGGCTTTTGTAGAAGGTTTATTAAAGATTTTTCTAAAATTTTAAACCTCTTACTAACCTCCTTGTGCAAGGTATAAGGTATGTTATGCTTTTGCCTATCACCTTTCTTCTTAGGCTTACAACAAGGATGACCAGATTTGGGACAAGTTATTTTATCTTTATGTTCTTTCCAATAAAGAATGCAACCATTTACACATATAGGTGTCTTCTCATAACCTAACCAACTAATTGTTGTCTTATACAAGTCATTAGGCAACTTTTCATCTTTTGGTAATAATTCTTTGATTAATTGTAAAATATGATTGAAACAACTCTAACTCATATTAAATGTAGACTTAATATTTAGCAATCTTGTCACCACAGACATGTAGAATGTGTTCTACACCCATCAAAAAGTGG